TGTTTGAGTCTCTGTGCATGTGTGTGACGGCGCGTGCTTCACTGCAAAGATTCATGTAGCTTCGGGACATGCATTTTTTTAGTGCATCTTGTTAGTTCATTCCTGTCACCTCTCTCTCCCGCTCTCTCTCGCCATCCCTTGCTTTTTCAGCGCTGAAGGGGGGATGGGGAAGGGGAGGTGGACTGGGCCGGGAGGGGAAGGAAGGGGTGGGGGCAGTGGAGGTGGAGGCAGTCACCATGGTTACAATGCCACGACAAATATTCATCAAGTTGTTAAAATAAAAACAAACGGGAGTGCATTATAATTGCTCTTACTGACTGGATCCAATAATGTGTTCATATATTATGAGTGAGAGGAGCAGAGAGGAATCGCTCGTGCTCAAAAAAAAAGGAAAGACAGAAAAAAGAGCCTGTTAGTGGTAAAAAGGGGATATCGGGTGTCCTGGAGGCAAACACAAGTGAGGCACACACTCACACGCACTCATTTCAACTCTTTTCTTTTTGTGTGTGTGTAACTTCATTTTCCCATTACCTGCGTATGGAATTCCCTATGAGTACTTTCGTGAGTCTCCCCTCTCTTTTCTCTTTGTCCCTCCATCTCTCGCTCTTCCTCTACTGTTGTGTAGCCTCGGGCGATACTGTGATGTGTCCTCCCTCTGTCCCTCCCTCCCTCTCCCTCTCTCTCTGTCCCTGTCACCTTCAATTGCTCTGTGAAACTAGACACACTGCCTGGGGCAGGGAGGGAGGGAGGGAGGGAGAGATACAGGCAGGGAAGAGAGGAAAAAGAGAAAGGCAAAAAAGAGAGAAAGACAGACAGCTTTATAGACAGACAGAAGGAATAAACATTTGGTGTCATGTAAAGAAAAATAGGATTACCACAGACCACATGTGTGGCCAACATGTAAAAACAAAATCAGCTGAGGTGATGTTTACAAGTTTGACAATAAGATGTAATCCTCTAATAATGTTATGGGGGAAACAACAGAAAGACTATTTGTCCAATTTAGTGCATGCTTGACCCTGGTTGTGTGTCCCTTGCACACCTGTTAAGCAGATATGGACTATGATCCTTTTGATCTATAAACACATAATATAAGCATGAGG